TACCATAAATAAATAAGAAATTCCTTCCCAACCAGAATTCCTGATTGCACCAATGTTGGATGATCTGGATGACATTTGCGTTCACCGTGCATGCATCAAATGCTGACCTAAGTGAAACGAATGTCATTTGAATTGTTAGCTTCAACAAACCTAGTCACCCTACTTAATGGAATTCTAACTATTTACGCATTCCCTGCATGCATCACAAAATAATGTCAAAAGGGGAATAAAGCTCTCGTATAGTAAACCACATACTTGGACGTTCACTTTGAGCTTTTCCACTGTGCTAGAATACAAAAAAGTTGCACTAATGTGATATCATTTTATTCAACAAACTTTGCTGATTATATTTTGGTGTAAATATATGGGGGTGGGGGGGTGCTTAGATTATGTAAATGTTGCATTGATCAATTGCCCCTCCCTTTTAGATTGTAAGCTCTCACCGGCAGGGCCCTCCTTACCATCTTGTCTTGAATTGTATTGTGATTGTAATGTCTTCCTTATATTGTAAAGCGCTGCACAAACTGTTGGCGCTATATAAATCCTGTACAACAATAATAATAAATTACAGGAAATGCATTCTTTCTACTTTTTTTACATTTATTCGCAAAAAAACCCCCAAGGAAATAAAAATATATGTATCCATAGGAATGAATGAAGATTCTTCCATGTAAGTACAGATGAACAAGAACCTGACAAGGAGACATTCATTAAAAAGCTGTAGGGCTTGTTCACACCAAATGCAGACCAGATCTGCATGAGTTTCTGCACACGCAGTGCAGTGTGTTATACAGCGTTTTTTGCCGCGTTTGCATGCGTTCCAGAGCAGGTAAAATAGGGCTGGCTGCAGTTTTTTTACATGCTCTGGAACTGAACGTTGCAATGTGAACTAGAGCCCAAAATACCATTGGAATACTTTGGGCGCAGTTTTGATCCGGTCTGTGACTGCTCTGCTCTGGGAATGCGCTTGGTGTGAACAAGCCCTTAGAGTTGCTGTGTTCCTTGGACAGTATCAATTTTACAAGTTGCCTGGCTTGGCTCTTTAACCATCTCCTCACCACTGGATTGTAAAAACAAAAAAGTAATTCTGGAGTGCTGTTTATAAACAACACTACAAAAATAAGGCACGGGTGGTGATTATGTCCATTAACTATCTGTGATTTGGTGGTCATTAAGCAGTGCAGATCACACACACAAAAGGCACAGAGCTGATCCAAGTGGCTTTGTGCCTTGTGATCACCAACGCTTTTTGTCTTTAGTAGTGACAGTCCGCCCCTTTCTCCTCTGTCCCTAATTCTGCATCTTCCTTCCTCTTCTGCCAGCGCTTCTTCTGCCGGTCCTGGAAGTAACACTGCTCCCACTGACCTCCAAAAATTGGTGATGCACTTGAGCAGCAAGGGGGTACACACATACATATGGACCATACAAAGGGCACTCTGACCATCAATGTTATGGCAGGAAACAACTTTGACCACAAAAAGTTATGGAGCACTCACTTCTCTTCACCCACTTTTAAGGGGCACACACCAACATTTAAAGGGGCACTCTATCACCGACCACCACCATAAAGGGGGAACTAACTCCATACCACAGAAATCTTTGCGTTGTTCTGTGCATTACAAAGCGCTGATCCCTGCTGCACTGTATCCTAAACTAAACAAATGTGGGGGCATTTTACGGCATCATTAACTGCTATACATCAGGGTTCTTTTAAAAAAAAAAAAAAAAAATTCTCATTTAGTTAGTATTAAACATAATACACAATAAGAAAAGAGTGCTTATTAAATACCAACAAAAGAAAGCTATGCCCCAATAAAGGATATATAATTAATTTGGGTTCAGTGTTGTATGACCGAGTATTTGTCAGTCAAACTATCACAGCACTAAAGCCTAAAAAATGGATTGGTAATGAAGGGGTAATTACAGGCTAGAACCTGAGTGGTTAAAGAGACCCAGACACCAACTTACAATCTTACAGGTAAAAGCATACAAAAATCACAAATTTTAAAATACATAACTGCAGTGTTTCTCTTTCCCATGTACAATTTTTTTTATTCACTTGCAATGTGTCTTTGAACTTGCTACAAAATTTGACTACTCCAGTAAGTCAATTCTCTATCACATCCCCCTCCCTCCTTGCACATCACAGCCCTCTCCTCCTCTGGGAGTGTCTAATTATCCTTCGCCCCCCACCTTACCTCCATAGAGGTACGATGGGGTATACTATAGAAAGTCACCTGAGTTACAGCTTTGAGTCTGCTGGGGCAGCTGACATCACATCCAGGATGGCAGTGCCCAGCAGAAGTCTCAGGCCTTTTGAATGTCTACACAAGGGAGGATGTTAAAGGTAACTAACACTCCTAAAATACGTTAAATGCACAAATATTTTATGGGATGATTGTTATTGAAATGAATGGTCTGACGACAGGGTCTCTTTAAGGGGACATGACAGCCTGTGAACCGTGTGAAGTAACTGTTTATCTACAGAGACCTGTACTCTCCCTTTACATTTTATAAATCCCCTTTTCATTCATCTTTAAAAACAGTATTATCTTTTACTCATGAATCCAATACATAATGCCTTAAGGAGACATTTCTCATCACGGTAAAAATGACTTACATTAAAGATAATGTGTAGCAAACAAGACCAGACAAGTAACAGCCTATTTAAAAAAAAAAATCAAAAAAAAAATCTTAATTTCACAATTGGCATGTCAGTCTGTCTGTTTTCTTTAGAATTTAGCACTACACAACTACAACTGACCTGATGGATATTTCTTAAAGTCCTGTGATGCACCCAGAATTTTAAAACTTAAAAAATAAAAAAAAGAATGTTTTCTCAGATGGTTTGGCCCCCTTACCTGCCTAGCAGGGTCTTTGCCACTTACAGGCAACTGATTTTGTTATGCTGGGGGGCCAGGAGTTGAGAATTCCCCTGCAGCGCCATCTGCTGGTGAATCTCAGACCGCAGCCTCTCTGGTTATAATTGAAGTTTACTGTGAGTGGTATTATTGGGGTGTGGATGAAATTTGGAGACCCCATCACCATGGGTGCACTTGTACTCAAAGAACACCTTGTGAAAGAACAATTTCTATCACTTACCGATCTGGAGGCACGCGTCTTAAACGCATCTATTTTGCATGGCCGCATCAGGTGTTGCGGACTCCTGGGTGTGTAGAATACCCGCTCACCCGCTGCACGCTTTCTATAAAGCAGATGTCTGTGGAGTAGAGGCAGTGTTGTCAGCTTACTTAGAAGAGGAGTATATTTCTGGCAGGTATTTTCCTGTACTCGCAGCATTTTTAAAGAGACAAAAAATGGTGAATGTGCAGCAGAGATGTGTTGCATATGTTTTTTTTATTATGTCCTGACTTAATAGAACCTTGTACTGAGGGAAATATGTTGGCTGCCATTGCTGACCATGCCATGCTACTTCTCTGGCTTTAATGCAGATCTAACGACTTTTTGAGTTGCTGACCTTGGACAAATAAACGTATCATTGGCCCTGAAAACACTGATTGCATGGTTGGTCCAGGTTAGTGACTCCAAGGGCTGAAGCCAGAGAGGTGAGCAGCAATTGCACTTTCCATATTCCTCCTTTGCAGGTTCACTTATCCATCCAGTGAAAATGTGATGTTTCATTGCGTTTTCACTGATGTTCATTAAAGAGTACCTGTTCTTACGTAACAAGCAAGTGAAGGTGTAGAGATAGGGGAGGGGGATACTGTACTTTCTGCTTCCACTAGTAAAATCTAGATGCACTTTATTATACAAACTCCCTACATTAATGTTACATCTGCTTTTACCGGCCATTACACATTAAAAAGTCCAATTTTTTAAATCTCTGCCTATACCCTTATTGGGGAGTTTTCCCCCTCATGTTCTGTCCCCCATGACACCCAAATAAAAAATTTGGGGGATGCTGCTGTGACCAGGAAAGGAAGACACGGGGAGGAACACTCAGAAAATCTAATCCTCCCCCACTAAACTAAAGTGTTTTTTTGCGTGTTCCAGTTTAAGAGATTTACCATAACTTCCTGTTCTGAGAAAATCTACCCAACAGGGACACAGACTGCAATTAAGAAAAAACGACAGAGTACAAAGCCCTCTAAATGAAAAAAAAATTGGGTTTAATTACAGCTGAAGTTCAATCAATTGATTTGCCTTCTCTGGTCCAGCCACAAATCCTCCCCAAAACAAACTTGCTAATAAAAATTTAAATAAGACCTTCCCGCTTTTGTTACATGCCTTATTTTACACCCAAAGACGTCATCACTGGGCCACTGTGAGTCTCTTTGCAATGCAGGCTGGTGGGAGGTGATGGCAGGGTGCTGTACCCAGCTTACTGAAAAGATCAGAACATCCTACATGATACAAGCAGTGAGCTGGCAGAAGTTATGTAAATGTCTTGAAGGGTGAATGTCAGTCTGGAAGAGTGCCCATTCCCAGGAATACTGCATTTGCATGAAGACTGCCCTAGGAAATTCCCACATGTCATGCTAAGCCTCATTAATAGCTGAAACCCAATGAGTGAAAGGGGCAATCAAGGTACAGTAAGGCTGGGGAGAAAATAGATAGATAATGCTGGATATCAATCAGCTCTCTATGACCTACTGCAGCTTCTAAATGTACACTGCGAGAAGCCCACAGTGTGAAGTGAACTCAAAATAAGCAAATTCAGTAGAAGACAGGAGCCGGTACAACTGTGCAAGACTGAAGGTAAGGCTGGAGTTCAGCTTTATTGAAAAATACAGGTAGTGAGACATCTACTGGTGTTTCAAAGACACTTGCCAACACCTTATTGATCCCTGGATGAATATGGCCTATGTGCCGGTGAATATTCATTCTCTTCTCCATAGGAAAAAAGGGAACACTGAGGCTCACAAAACAATTTTCAACATGCTGGAATACTTTGGCCATAAATATTGCTTCCGACAGTCATTGCTTGCCATGGAAACTCTGCATTGCATGCGTTGATCAGTCCCCTGCCCTTCCAACGTGTGTCTGTTGTTCACATTTTCTTGACGGACCTCAGAAACAGCTTGTTGTCGCGCTCCTCCACGGCTAAGCCCATACGCTCCAGTACAGAAGGATCAGCCAGCCCTTGGCGCTCCAAGTTGGCAATGACCCCTTGGTTTCTCTCGTTGTGTTCAGTGAGATTCCGAATGGTGTAGACTGCCCATTGGTTGAGAACTGATAGTGAACAAGTTAAGAATAAAGTAAGCAAGGAGAATAATATAAAACATTTTCACTTCATATTTGTAACCGTGAAGAAACCCATTACAAGCTAAACGTCTTTAAGCCACAATGCAATCTCACACCTTTTAATCTCCTTATAGTCCTGTACCACCAACCCGACCCAATGCAGAATGAGAAGTCAGGAATGGCAGCATCTAGGTTTATCTGATAAGGGTTTCCTTTAAGTTTAGTGCTGACTGCTAGGAGGAGGTAGCAAGACAATCTTTTTTCTTTTTTAAATAAACTGCTTGTGTCATGTTGGGGAGGGGGCGGGACACACAGGTAAATCTCTCCAAGATGAGGGGAAGTGAAGTTTTACCATGTAAACCTCTATGTTCTCTTTTTTGATGTTATCTGAATTCCTATTTCCTATCATAAAAATCTTTGTACAACAAGGTGAGGAGAAGACCACTTCAGTTGTCACCAGAACAGGTGTTCCTGTTGAAGGATTTAATTTCACCTCCAGTTCTGGTGACATCCGTACAATTTTTTCTGTACTTTAGACAATAATTCCCAGGAAAGAGAGTGTGAAACTCCCCAGCTGGGAACACAGCAATTAGAACATGACAGAAATTCTAAATCTTCCATACTATCCAACGCCACGAAAGGTTTGGGCTAGATACACCTTGAAGCAACTTGGGTTTTACTTCAAAAAGACAATAGCACACTTTATAAGAGAGAGCGAGCCGATCAGATGAATCAGATCAGATATTAAGCTCAACATTTTTTTCAAAGACAAAAAAAAAAAAGAGAGGCAAACTTCTGAACAAACTTTTTAGGCCCTAGGGGGCTATGAAAAAAGAGAGAGTAATAACGCGTTATTAAGATTACAACCATTTTTCTAGTGAATGTGAACAGACAGCGACATGTCGAAACAATGCAAGCTTTGCTGAGCAGGGGATCTTTCTGGTGAGCTGCTGTATTTTGGTAGCTGTAAGAAGTTCAGAATTGTTAAAGGATTAAATGTTTATAAACATGTCTGCATTTTAACTTCATTAAGCTGGAAGTGACAGACAGCAGCTTGAATCACCTGAATACACACAGTGTACGGTCATGGCGGACTTTTTTTAAACTAGTAATCCAGAGATTTGTAATCAGTAAAATAATTATTTGTGCGGCTAGTTTAATAAACATCTTTCCAAAAATACACCCGCCAGCCCAAGCCTGAATTTACTTGTTTCTAGACATATGTCAGTGGCAATGCTCCTCCTTAAAGGCACCACCCCTCTAATCGCAATAAGAGATTATTATGAAAAAAGTGTATGTTTGTATGGAACATCTCATCACCAATCAAAAGTCTACAGAGACCAGAAGAAACTCAATTGAGACCCCGTTCACATTGAGCGATTTATAGCGCGGTAATTCCCGCGATATCGCGGCAAATTACCGTGCGGTATCGCGCTCCAATGCAATCTAATGGGGCAAAGGGTCCTGCTGTCGCGGGTCGTGTGTCGCTACAGCAGGACCCTTTTTGGAGCGGATTTAGCCGCGATTCAAGCTTGCTCAATGCAAGCTTGAACGCGACATCGCGCGGCAAATCTTGCGATGTCGCGCAATATGCAAATCGCGCGTTTGCATATCACGCAGTGGGAACGGGGCCTTAAGCTACGGAAAGTCTAGTGACTTCTCCCAGTACACTTTGTAACTCCAACTCCCCACTCTAACCATAAAGAATAATACCCTCAAGCTGCTACCGTATAACAGCCTATATCATTCTTATCTACACTTTATTTAAAATCTGTGGACACCTCATCACACCTTATCAGCTTGTTGGGCATTCATTCCAAAAACCATGGGCATTATTATGTAGTTGCCCTCCTTTGCGCCAATAATAGCCCCATCTCTTCTAAGAAGGTTTTACACAACATCTTGGAACAGAAAAGGACCTTCACCAAACTGTTACCACAAGGTTGGAAGCAGACAAATGTCTAAAATGTCTTTGTATGCTTTAGAATTACCAATACCCTTCACTGTAAACACCTAAGCTCAACCTGGAGGGGTGTCCACTTTTGGCCATACAGTAGGTGTGATGGTCAGGTTCCAACAAACAGCTGGCCAAATAATAGAGAAAGGATGGATAGATAGATAGATAAATAAGAATAAGAGAAACAGAGACTAGTTCCCCTTTAACCTAATTTAACCAAATGGACTCCTACTTCATATCCAACTGGAATCCTTTAAAAATATTCAGCACCATTTACCCTAATGAGGACCTGAAAGAGACAGAACAGCCCAGCGGGGGACACAAGCGTTTCCCTTTAATTTCGGGTCAGTTAGAAGCTGCCGCATAAATTTGATATACATATTGGAAGAACAAAGATCTAAAAATACAGCCTAAACGTTTTCCTCTCCCTCTAATTATTTTGTCTATTTATTTTGTTATTGTTGGATTCGGCCTCTTCATAAAAATGGATATTTTCCTCACTTCACAAGCACGCCTCCTGTTATTGTGTGGTGGACGGGCTCCCGATGTTTCCTATGAGTGGGTACATTGTGTGATTTGTCCTATGCATCGGATGAAGGCTGTGGTTAATCCCCCCTATTTCAATAGCTTAATATCATCTACTTTTAAAAGGTACACTGACCTTGAAAGCTCTCCCTTCATAAAGAGCAACTCCAGGCATACAAACAGATTAAATAACTATAAAATAAATGTTTTAGCTGCCAGGATAACAGACTCCACCAGCCCTTGTGGTGTTAAAATAGCTGCATAGCATTGAGAGATTGACAACACAATAAAAAGTTAGCAATTCTGTAGACAGTGTTTCTCCCCAATACCTAGGACGTCTGCCTATATAACTTCCCCCTCTGCCAATGACAACATGTTTGTCTAGGCAAACAGTTAAAAAATATTACAAAAGATTTGTCTTCTAACCTGCAAAAATGCACCTTTGCCTGTGTAGGCAAAAATCCTAGCACCGGCCCTGTATACAGCTCAATTAATTGGCTAGTACTGCCCCTCCCTCTCCAAGTCCGAGTGCTGATGTACAGGAGATGCTGAAATCAAGTCAAATTACAATACGCATACTAACCGCATTTACAATACAATTAAGAAATACATAATTGCATTCATCTATGTTTAATATCTGCCAGGTTTTCAGCTTTAAGTGCATTTCACTATATGCCAAAAAAAAAAAGGTCGATAAAACTGCCAATTGCTACAGCACATTGATGTGACTGGAGCCTTAAAAGGGGAATTTTACCCATATCTTTAAAATAACAACAAACACACCTTAAGAAATGTTTAGTAACAACAATCTACAAACACATACTTCTAGATAATTGCCGGCTTTGTATTGGTTACATACCTTGTTTCTCTCTTCTTCCCCAGTCTTCTGCCAGTGGCCATGTTTACTAAGGGTAGGTTACTAGCTCTCCCTTTACTTCCTGGAACTCTGACACATGTGACTAAGACATGTTACCATGCACATCATCTCAGGGAGATTTCCCAGCAATGCTCTGCTTATGTAACCTTCCCAGGATGCAACACTTTGGCACATTACATCATTTGTGCCCGGACTAGATCAGGCAGTAGATGAACTCTATTTGTAAGTAAATGAAAAACAAGTTTGTTCAACTAATGAATGTAAGATGATTTTAAATCAGCATGCAGAGCTGCACGTTAATGTGATTTTTAGTGAAAGGGGTTAAAGGTTCACTGTAAGTGGAAATTCACTTTTGTTTTCCCTAGTTTTTTCAAGCTTACCTATGGTGCCAGTAATATTCTCCAATACCTTTTTCCCAGCATTGTGAAAGCAGTAGTGGAATGCTGGACCAGGCTCAACCTATCAATCATGTTGGCTTGCATTTAAAATTTCCAGTGGTAATGCTCCCACCCACCATTGTCATCCACCTCGTAATCATGGGACCCAGGAAGGCTACACTCAGAAAAAAGAAAAGGATTCACCTTGGTCAGTGAGGGGGGAAAATGAGGGATGTTAAAATAGGAAGGACAAAATTACATTCCAGAATGCTTGTTCACATACTGATAAATTCTGGGTCAAAAAGTGGAAGAAAACAAAAAAAAAAAGGCTACAACTGCCTATTTACCTACTCGCAGCTACTTTACAATTGCCTCCCAAAGAGGGAGGGGTGTGTCACTTTCCTGAATCACTTAGCAGTGTGTGTTATCTGATCTCTCCTGTGATCAAGTTGTTTTTTGAGCGTGTAGAAAGTTTATACTCTGCTTTGAGCTGATCATTTGTTGACTGCAAGAATTATTATCAGCTTAAAGTGGAAAACAACGCAAAAAGTGAAATTTGTTATCCGATAGGCAGCATTTAGAAAAGTTAACTGTACCTAAGCAGTACCCTGAAAAATCTACCTTTTGTCTAGGATTTCGCCTGAAAAATAGCAGTACACTTCCTGTGCCTAGGTATTCCTGTGTACTGAGCTGAATATCTGCAGTGTGAGATCATTTGAGGTACTGCTGGTCATGGCAGATGTGGAAATGTCTCCACTCTGCTGTTACTGCTCCCTTTGCTGGAGAGGAAGCTGTACCTAAGAAACTGCAATGCAAGGATCTCCCTACTTCTACTGGATTCATTATATGCATCACTCCTGCCGCTCCTTGTTAATTACCCCACCAGTCATCAGATCACAAACCGTCAAGGGGGCAGCCCAATCATGGGAAGCAAACCCCTGCCTCTATTAAGATGGCCACCTCCACACAGAGAAAGCCTTCACGTTATAGGTCCTCTTTAATGTACATAATCTTGTTACTGAGTGTTAATGGTAAACACCATACATATGTATATGGGGGCAGCAATATTTAATCATCTGATATGAAGCTTTTGCTTCCAACTTGGAAGTGCTGCATATTGACTATCCTTTACGGTCTCTGTCTGTTAGGGAAGGCCTATGGGCCATTTTGGACCTGACTGATGACAGTCTCTCTATAAGGCTAACTGAACTCTAAGGGTTTACATATACTTTAATAGAGTGGAAATATTCCA